TGACAGGGAACACAACAGAGAGTCCCTGATGGAGCAGGAGAAAAGTAGGGTACAGAACTCAAATTCTAGTAAAAAGACCAGACTTAATGGTCTGAGTGAGACTGGAGGAACCCCAGAAAGCATGGCCCCCAAACTCTCTGTCAACCCAAAACTAAAATCATTCCCGAGGCCAACTCTTCAGACAAAGATTAGACTGGACTATGGGACATAAAATGATACTCGGGAAGAGTGTGCTTCTTAGCTCAGGTAGATACATGAGACTAAATGGGCAGCTCCTGTCTGGAGGTGAAATGAGAAGGCAGAGAGGGTCAGGAGCTGGTTGAATGGACACGGGAAATCAGGGGTAGAAAGGAGGAGTGTGCTGTCATAGTATAGGGAGAGCAATTAGGATCATGTAACAATGTATGTATAAATTTTTATATGCGAGACTAACTGGAATTGTAAACTTTCACTTAAAGTACAATAATAAAATTAAAAAAGAATATGTTTTATCTAGTGCAGTGTATGGAGTCCTGGTGGTGCAGTGGTTAAGAAGTAGATGGCCAGCCAATGTCACAAAACAATATGTATACTTTTTAATGAGAAGCTTGTTTGCTCTGTAAACCTTCATCTGAAGTACAATTAAAAAAAGAGAGAGAGAGAGAGAGAGGAAAAATAGTAGATGGCCAGGCCTTTCTTCCAAGGTGCCTCTGGGTGGACTGGAACCTGCAGCCTTTCGGTTTGCAGTGGAGTGTGTTAACCATTGGCACCACTCAGGGACTCCATTGGACTCTTCCTAAACTATCAGTTAGTAGTCGAGCACTTAACCGTTTGTGCCACCCAGGGACTCCAGTGCATACATTAGACATCTCTATACCGTAGCCACAGTTTTTAGTATAAATTGTGAAACCCCAGGAAATACCCAGGTGGCACACATCTCTGCAGGGTGTGTTGCCTTCTCGGTAAATGTGTTGTCCGTGGCTTGGAGTCTGGAGTTGATTACACATGGTTCCTGGGCAGTTCTGAAGAGTGGACCACCTGACAGTTGGGAGCATGTTGGAGCAGATAATAAATGCACCAGCTCACGAACCTGATACCGTGCAAAGAAACCACTTCTTACATCTTGAAAACGGCAGAATTGCAAAATCCTGACATGGATTCTCCAGTTAATATTCTTTAGTTGATTCAGGGGCTTTTTGGCTTTTAATTTAGTTTGGTGGCACTTTGAAAGTGGAGCTCCTGGAGGTCTGTTTGCTGACTGCTAAAGAACTATTAGTCCCATCTCCATATAGCACTTGTTCTGTCTTAAGTGGACTTTCTAGCAATACAAGAACCTCCAACCTTCAAGGAAAACGTGATTATGAGCAAATTGCATCTGCTCACGTTTTTATCATGAAAAGGAAATTGAAACTTGCGATCCTACATTCTAAGAACCTGGTTTGAGGTTTGTTCTGTTTGCACTTCAGAATCCCTTAATACCTTGGCTGACCCTGATGAAAGCTATTTTCCTGTAAGTCAAGCAAAGAGAGTCCGGCTCCCCTCTAGGAAGTGCTCATCTTGCTCTGCCTGGGAATCATAAACTAAAGATCTCTCTAGTGAAGTGGTTCTCAACTGAGGGTGATTCTGCCCTCCCCAGGGGACACTGGGCAATGGCCAGAGACGTTTTGGGTTGTCACAACTTGCTACTGGCAGCTAGTTGGTAAAGACCAGGGATGCTGCTAAACATCCGACAGTGCACAGGACAGCCCCCGCCCCGATGAATTATCTAGCTCCAAAGCTCAATAGTGCCAGGCCCTGACCCAGTAGGCATCTAAGTAGCAAAAACACATAGAAGCCAGAGAAGCAGGAAGCCTTCTCCAGCGGATGTTTCTCAAGAGGCCACCCTAGTATAGTGGTTAAGAGCAAGAACTCAGGTCCAGGCTGCCCGGGTTTGAATACCAGTTCCATCACTTACTGGCTGTGCCACCTCGAGCAAAGTACTCAACCTCTCTGTGCCTTGTTTTTCTAATAGTACCTTCCACGCAGGGTTGTTAGGAGGTATAAATGGGTTAATATTCTCAAAGTGCTTACAACAATGCCAGGCCCACAGTGAGCACTATGTAAGGGGGTATTTATTAAGGGGTTTTGGAAAATAAGTTCCTGGAAAAGTCAGTTTTAGGGCTTTGAAAAGTTTATCGGTAGTAAGGAAACGGCTTCGGATTCTGAATTGCTATTATCAAGAAGAATGAGTCGATTTCATCTCACGACCCCGCTTTCTCTTCCCAATTCATCAACCCTCCTCAGAAAGGCAGCGAGCAGAGGAGCCTGCCCGCATCAGGGCCGGCTAGCCCGAACCCAGCAAAAGCTCACTGTCGAGTCCTCAGTTTCTTTCCCTTCTTCCACAGCGAAAGCAGCGACTGACAACCACCTGGAGCCCTCCGGATAGAGTGGAGAATACGTAACTGCACACACGCAGAACCCCAGCCCCTCCCTCCCGACGCATACACACATACTCACACACCCGCCCGTACAGTCGATGTCTGCAGACCACCAAATCCGCACGCACCCACAGGTCTGCCCGCACAGCGCCCAGCCTTCCTCTGGTAACCTGCCAGACGCAGCCAGGTGGGGCGCAGCTGATGCAAAGGGCACTGGGTGCAAAGATCCGCCCAAGGGGCGCGGGAAGAAAGCCCGGGTGCGCTCCGACGTCTCAGCCTTGCGGGAAACTCGTCCCCGCGTGCACAGACACACACGTGCACACACACCCACACACGCGCGGGGGTGCCTGGAGGGACCCGGGACAAAGAGAAGGGGCCGATCGCCAGCCAGCCACTCACCTGGCCGCGCTCCCTAATCCACCTGCCACCCAGGGGAGCAGCAGCGGGAGCGCGAGCCCCCAGGGCGGCCGCATCTTGGCGCGAGGCCTCAGTCCTTTGCTGCCGTCAGCTGCTCCTCCTCCTGCGCCCCCTCAGAAGGGTGCTGGAACGCAGGATCCGGGTGCAGCAGGGCCACCGCCTGCTCGCTCTGCGGCCAGTCGGGGCTCCGCTCCTTCCGCAGCCCCCAGGCCGGGCACTGCGGCGAGGCGCGCGCGGCTCAGGAGAAGCTGGGGCGCGGGGGGCAGGCGCGCTGCGGCTCCTCTGAGGGAGAAGCGGACCTGGGCGAGCGAGCCAGGGAGGGCGGGCCGTGCACATCTGGCTGGGACCCGCCTCCAGCAGGACCCGCGCATCCTCTGCGCTCTCCGTTCAACAGAAACGTTCCCCAGATTCAATTCAGTCCCTTCCTGTCGGAGTCACCAAGGACCGTCATCTATTTAAGGCCCTGAATTGGTTTCAGTGGTACCTGCGTGCTCTCCAGGATCTAAGAATTTAGTTGAGAAGTCAAAGCGGGAACCAGGAATGCAGGTTACTAATGAAACTGCTACCTTCTATTTAAGTTTTTAATATTCTGCCGGGTTTTCTTCCACAAACTTCAAATCCTAGGGTGCTAGAGCAGAAAGGTCACCAAGTCCTCTGGCAACCTCTTCATTTGACAAATGATCTCGTGCTCATTTGCAACAGCTTATTTACATGGGACTGCAAGATGAAATTGTAATGTAGTAATTGAACAGTGCAGGAACTGACGGCCGAAACACAAATGCTGTAGAATTCAGAGAATTCATTCAGGTACTTGCATGTTATTTGTTCTGACAACCCCATTTATTCTGGAGGAATGAATGATTGGTCCCTCCTTCACCCTCTCCCCGCAAACACTCCCTTGTAGCTTCGTGATGGAGACAGTGTATGGCCCTGCCTCTTGACTTTGGACTTGCCTGTGTGACTTACCCATGGCATGCGGGCAGAAGTTGGAATGGGCCAGTTTCAAGCATAGACTCTAGACACCTGAGCCTCTGTCATAGGCATGAGAAGAACATGTCCCAGCTAGTGAGTGGTAGTCCAAGGAGGATGAGGGACAGGTGCAACAGATATACCTGATCGACTTACAGACCTATAGCTTGAAGCAGAGCCACTCAGTTGAGCCTAGTGTATATTAGCCAACCCAGAGACACAGGAGTGGCCTCAGCTCAGATCTGCAGTGCCAGCCAACCTGCCAAAGCTTGTGGTGATTGTTTGCTACTCAGCAATAGCTCGTTGACACGCCTATAAACTAGTGTCAGAAATAAAATCATGAAGACAAAGAATATGGAGAAAGAAGAGCTTTGAATAAGTATGGTGAAAAGATACAACCCTGACACACACCTTTCCTGACTTTAAACCCTGCAGTGGTTTAAAGTATATATATTTATGAAGTATGCGTGTGTGTGTGTATATATATATATATACATTTTATACACACACACACACATATATACATATATATACATAGGGAGTCCTGGTGACACAGTGGTTGAGAGCTCAGGCTGCTAACCAAAAGGTTGGCAGAGGAAGGCTCTGGGGAACGTCCTTCTCCCAGAATTCCTTGGTTCCTTGGAGATCTTCATGTGGCATGGCATCTATTTTCCCCCATTTGTGCTTGCTTGTCTGTGTGTCAGAGCTGGTTTGCTAACCAAAAGGTCAGCAGTTCGAATCCATCAGCCGCTCCTTGGAAACCCCGTGGGGCAGTTCTACTCTGTCCTATAGGGTCGCTATGAGTCAGAATTGACTCAACATCAACGGGATGGGATATATACATATATATGTATATATATATGCGTATGTATATATATATATCCTTTCACCATACCTATTCAATCTATATGCTGAGCAAATAATCCAAGAAGCTGGACTATATGAAGAAGAACGGCGCATCAGGATTGGAGGAAGACTCATTAACAACCTGCATTATGCAGATGATACAACCCTGCTCGCTGAAATTGAAGAGGACTTGAAGCACGTACTGATGAAGAGCAAAGACCACAGCCTTCAGTATGGATTACACCTCAACATAAAGAAAAAAAAAATCCTTACAAATGGACGAATAAGCAACATCATGATAAATGGAGAAAAGATTGAAAGTTGTTGAGGATTTTATTTTACTTGGATCCACAATCAACACTCATAGAAGCAGCAGTCAAGAAATTAAACGACCCATTGCATTGGGCAAATCTGCTGCAAAAGACCTCTTTAAAGTGTTGAAAAGCAAAGATGTCACCTTGAAGACTAAGGTGTGCCTGACCCAAGCCATGGTGTTTTCAATCACCTCATATACATGTGAAAGCTGGGCAATGAATAAGGAAGACCAAAGAAGAATTGATGCCTTTGAATTATGATGTCGGTGAAGAATATTGAATATACCATGGACTGCCAAAAGAACAAACAAATCTGTCTTAGAAGAAGTACAACCAGAATGCTCCTTAGAAGCAAAGTTGGCGAGACTTCATCTCATGTACTTTAGACGTGTTATCAGGAGGGATCATTCCACGGAGAAGGATATCATGCTTGGTAAAGTAGAGAGTCAGTGAAAAAGAGGAAGACCCTCAGTGAGAAGGATTGACACAGTGGCTGCAACAATGGGCTCAAGCATAACAACGATTGTGAGGATGGCACAGGGACTGGGCAGTGTTTGGTTCTGTTGTACATAGTGTCGCTATGAGTTGGAACCCACTCGACGGCACCTAACAACAACTATATATATATATATATACACACAGAGAGAGATATTTATGTCAAGGAAATGGCTCATGCTCTTGTAGAGGCTGGCAAGTCCCAAATTCGTGGGTCAGGCGTCAGGCTGGAGGCTGCTCCTGACTCATATGGTTGCAGGGGCTGGTTCACGGGGCTGCAGGAGCTCACAAATCCCAAAATCTGCAGGCCAGGTGACGGGCTGCTGGCTCATGTCCCAAGAACTGGAGGTCAGATGATGACGAGTTGGATGCAGGATCGAGAGAGAGGGCGAGCTTTGACAGAACATCTATATATATTTGATGCAAGCCACACCCCCAAGAAAACTCCCCTTACATCAGATCACAAAATGGAGGATAATTACATAATACTGAGAATTATGGCCGAGCCAAGTTGACACATAACATTAACCATCACAGGTAGCTTCACATGTCAAATGATTCTCATGAGTAAGGTAATATGATGATGTCTTCACGGCTGTTACCAAAACCCTTTGAACTATTCATACCGTAACTTGTTTTATTTGCTGAAAATATTAAAATCAAAAGGAAAGATTATAAGGTGTGAACTCTACACCTGTGAATATCTTAAAGAAAATGGAATATAAAATTTTTCTTGGTGTGAGTTTCCCCCAAGATGACCCTGAGGCAGAAATTCAAGTGGAAGTAGTTATTCTGGAAGTGCAAAGGACACTGGTAGGGGAGTGGGGGAGTGAATCAGAGGAGGGGAGGAAGACAATAGCAGGTGTATATCAAGTTATCATTGTGGGCAACTGGAGCTTCATGCTGCTGGGGAGCTCCCAGGACCAGTGTAGAGCAGGCAGCTCCAAAATTATCTTACCAGAAGGGCGAGGGAGCTGGGGTATTTATACACCATTTCCATTCAATCCTTGCCTGAAGGCTTCTTCTACCAGAGTACTGATTCCTAGGATTTCTGCTTACTGTGCTAAGAGCAGAGTAGGTGCTTACAGCTAAAGAAAGCCCTCAGGCAAGGACTGTAGATGCGTGCCTTTGAGAGTTCTACTGAAATGGTAAGGCTGGAGAGGATGTGGGCAGGGCACCACAAAGGCTGCTACCTAATGTCTGGAAATTGAAATGAATCGAAAATTATGGGTCTTTGCCCACACATTTCTCCTTAAACATTTAGATATGAATCACTTCCTTCTCCAAAGAAACCGTTAGTCAAAAAAGTCCTAATAAAATATGATTAGCCTATAATATAGGGGCAGTCCTACCTTCTTATTCACTAAGTTATAAAGGGTCAGAATAGCATCTTGCTTTAATATTTATCCATCACTTTCTAGCTTTAGTTTCAGCATTTTGATGTTATTTCTGCTTTTTGTTTTTTCAGAGCCGACTTCTCTTCTGTAGGCTTAAAGGAGGTGACGAACATTAGAACAAGAAACTTCTGGGGAAGGTAAAACACTCCTCCACCCACTGTTATTACCTGGGGGGAGCCTGTGGACAAAGGAACTGTCAGGTAGTATGAGAAACAGAGAAGGTCCCTGGAAATAATGTGCTGCCAGGTGAGAAGATATCGAGTACAAATTGCCAGGTTGAGGCAGGTGTTTTTAATAACTGCACTAGTCCTGTTGACTTTGAAGAGGAACCAGGCAGCTGCTCTTTAGGGGGCCTCCTGCTTCCTACAAAGGAAAAGCAATCTTTGATCAGAATGTCATAAAATCGTCCATGCCTTTTACAGGGCTACATTTTTTTCAATCTATTTCCACTTAGCCCCCTGCGTGGACCAGGTATTTTTGTGCTTTTTGAATATACACATGAAACACACTTACAAAACCACTAACACTTTTGATGATGTTCCTGGCGCTGAGATCCAAGATGATACTGAAATATCAGCATCAAAAGCAAAGCATTGTTGGATGAAAGATCTGGGTGGAAGAGTGGGTAGACCAGGGTTTCCAATGTTAATGTAAGTACGAATTATCTGGCAATCTTGTTAAAATGCAGGTTCTGATTGTGTTGGTCTGGGGTGAGGCCTGAAAGTCTGCATTTCTAAGACCTCAAGTGTTATGGATTGAATTGTGTCCCCCCAAAAGATATGTTGAAGTCCTAACCCCCGGTACCTGTGAACGTGGCCTCCTTTGGAAATAGGGTCTTTGAAGATGTTATCAGTAAACACAAGGTCATACTGGAGTAAGGTTGGGTTCTAATCCAAGCTGAGTGGTGTCCTTATAAAAGAGAACAGACACAGAGATATACACAGAGGGAAGATGGCCCTGTGAAGATGCATCCACAAGCTAAGGAATGCCAAGAAATGCCATGGGCTACCCAGAAGCTGGAAGAGATGAGGAAGG